CCCCCCGGGGGGCCGTCTGGGGTGACCGGGAGCCAGGGCTCGCCTGCTCCCCGGGAGACAGGAAAGGAGACCTTTAGTTCCCCAGCTGGGACGCATCCTGGGAGCCCCGAGGACCCAGGAGGGCAAGGGGAACGCGGGCAGGAGCGGCCCCCCGGCCTGCAGGTCAGCAGTTATTTAAGTCTCAGGGCTTAGTGAGGCCCGGGAAACAGGAACCCACTGCGTGCTCCTTCGCCTGTTGGCGGGGCGGACGGTCCATCTATCAGGACCCCCAGACAGTGCCCCCCCCACAGCGTGTAACTGGACCCCGTTGGCCTTTGCAGGGCTGCGGGGGCGCCAGCTCCCTGACCTTCCAAGACCTGTGAGCCAGGCTCGGACCGGCGGCGAGTGGAGAAACAGGCCACAGGTTGCTGCCTGGCCAAGCCGGGGCCCAGGACACGAGCTGAGGCCCAGGGAGGGCCAGGGGCCACCCAGAGAGGGGCCGGCTGGGAAGTCCATCCCTGGAAGCCCAGGTCAGAGTCCAAGCAGGGAATCCACGCCCGTGGGGCTGAGCTCCCGCTCTGCTGTGTGGCCCGAGGCAGAAACTGACCCTCTCTGTTGCCTCCTGAAGTGGGGACCGAGTCCCTCCCTCCCTCGAAGGGCTGTGGGAGGACGGAGGGCACAGGCTGCGTCAGGCACACAGGAGCAGGGCCGGGATATGGCCTTGAACCCCGGGGAGCTGGCCTTGGGCACCGGCTAGCTTACGAGCGACGGCCCTGGGTCAGACCAGCCTGGGTACCCACGTTCCCGTGACCTGAGCTGTGATGTGGGGGTAAATACGGCGATACCATCACATGATGAGCACGCATCCAGCGCCAGCCCTGAGCTGAGGGCTCTCACGCTCGCATCCACTCATCACCTCCCCGTCACAGGAACCCGAGGTCGCCCCCTTGTACACCAGGGGAAGTGCCGACCCAGAGGTTGAGCAACCGGCTCAGGTTCGCACCCAGGAGGACTGGAGCCCAGGCACTCAGGCACCTTCTCCCACGTTCACACCTCTCTGCTGAGCTGCGGGAACAGCATGCGTTCATGAAGGTGAGGTGACCTCACATGCCCGGGCTCCGATGCTTGGAGCAGCGTCCCGTGCGCCAGAAGGCGCGGGTGCGATTCCCGGTCAAGGCATGTGCCTAGGTTGCAGGTTCAATCCCCCGTCGGGGTGTGTACGTGAGGCAACCGATGGTGTATCTCTCTCACATTGACGTTTCTCTCTCACTCTTCCTCCCTCTATAAAAAGAAAGACATCACACAGGCAAAGTCCTGAACATAGAGCCATGGGACGTGTCCGATGTGCATCAGTCATTGTCGTAACAAATGCACTCATGCATTCAACAGACCCTCACCGGGTGTGCAGGCTGTGGCCGGCTCTCTTGTTTACATCCGTAAACAAGACGAGGATGTCTGCCCTCGGGGGCTTCGTCAGCACTGTTATCACGTCATGACCGCCTCCATCAACATCACTGTTATCATCATGGCCATCGCCATCATGATCATCTTCAAGACCGTCATCGCCACCATCGTCACCACCATCCCCATGGTCATCATCGTCGCCATCACCACCATCGTCACCACTACAATCATCTCCACACCATCATCACCATCACCATGATCACCATCACCACCATCATCACCACTACAATCATCTCCACACCATCAACACCATCCCCAGGATCATCACCACCATCGTCGCCATCACCACCATCGTCACCCCTACAATCATCTCCACACCATCAACACCATCACCATGATCATCATCGTCACCATCACCACCATCGTCACCCCTACAATCATCTCCACCACCATCAACACCATCACCACGGTCATCATTGTCATCATCATCTCCATCATCGCCACCATCATCACCATGATAATCATCTTCATCACCATCAGCAATCATCACCATCACCACCATGATCATCTTCATCACCATCATCACCACCATCATCTTCATCTCCATCATCACCTCCACCACCATGATCATCTCCATCACCATCATCACCACCATCACCACCATCATCTTCATCTCCATCATCACCTCCACCACCATGATCATCTCCATCACCATCATCACCACCATCACCACCATCATCTTCATCTCCATCATCACCTCCACCACCATGATCATCTCCATCACCATCATCACCACCATCACCACCATCATCTTCATCTCCATCATCACCTCCACCACCATGATCATCTCCATCACCATCATCACCACCATCACCACCATCATCTTCATCTCCATCATCACCTCCACCACCATGATCATCTCCATCACCATCATCACCACCATCACCACCATCATCTTCATCTCCATCATCACCTCCACCACCATGATCATCTCCATCACCATCATCACCACCATCACCACCATCATCTTCATCTCCATCATCACCTCCACCACCATGATCATCTCCATCACCATCATCACCACCATCACCACCATCATCTTCATCTCCATCATCACCTCCACCACCATGATCATCTCCATCACCATCATCACCACCATCACCACCATCTTCATCTCCATCATCACCTCCACCACCATGATCATCTCCATCACCATCATCACCACCATCACCACCATCATCTTCATCTCCATCATCACCTCCACCACCATGATCATCTCCATCACCATCATCACCACCATCACCACCATCATCTTCATCTCCATCATCACCTCCACCACCATGATCATCTCCATCACCATCATCACCACCATCACCACCATCATCTTCATCTCCATCATCACCTCCACCACCATGATCATCTCCATCACCATCATCACCACCATCACCACCATCATCTTCATCTCCATCATCACCTCCACCACCATGATCATCTCCATCACCATCATCACCACCATCACCACCATCATCTTCATCTCCATCATCACCTCCACCACCATGATCATCTCCATCACCATCATCACCACCATCACCACCATCATCTTCATCTCCATCATCACCTCCACCACCATGATCATCTCCATCACCATCATCACCACCATCACCACCATCATCTTCATCTCCATCATCACCTCCACCACCATGATCATCTCCATCACCATCATCACCACCATCACCACCATCATCTTCATCTCCATCATCACCTCCACCACCATGATCATCTCCATCACCATCATCACCACCATCACCACCATCATCTTCATCTCCATCATCACCTCCACCACCATGATCATCTCCATCACCATCATCACCCCTGACAGGTGGCACCGGGGCCACGCAGGGGCCAAGGGGGCCTGGGCTCTGGCCGGGGATTGGCCCCGGGGTGAGATGGTCAGGAGGAGGTTGCTCTAAGGGGTGGGCCATGGGGGGCAGGCGGAGGTCCGGCCTCACAGTGGGGTCAGGGGCTGCGTGCGGGGTCTGAGGAGGTGGAGGGGTCAGTCCGTGGCTCTGGCTGCTGGATGGCTTGAAGTCCTCCGTGCATGGGGCGTCCATGCTTGGGGCTGGAGAGGGGCTGGAGGGGTTGGACTCTGGGTCTGGAGAGGGCTCTAGGCTGGACACATGGGAAGGGGAGGGATGAGGGGCCCCCATGAAGGTCCACTGGGGGTGCAGGCTGGGCTTGGCTGTCAGTGCGGGAGTGGGGGAGGGGAGTTCTGTTTCCGAGGAAGTTAAAAGGGACTTAGTGGTGACCACAGGGGCTGAGGTAGGGCCAGGAGCCAAGGCGGGGTGAGTAGTGGTCGTAGGGTGAGGGGTCGTGGTGGGGTGAGGGGCAGTGACAGGGTAAGGGATTGTGATGGGATTAGGGGTCGATATGGGTTGAGAGGTTGTGGTGGGGTGAGAGGTCGTGGGGAGGTGAGGGGTCGTGGAGGGGAAAGGGGTTGTGGCTGGGTGAGCAGCTGTGGCTGGTTGCGGGGTTGTGGTGGGGTGAGGGATCGTGATGGGGTGAGGGGTCGTGGTGGGGTGAGGGG